CCAGCTCAATATGATAAGTGAGAAGTAACCCAAGAAGCCTCAAGAGAAAGGATGGACTGAGAGCAAGGACTGCAGGACCGCTCTTTCCACACAGAGGTTCCCTCTTTTTTTTTTTTTTTTAATTTTATTTATTTATTTATTTTCCCCCCAAAGCCCCAGCAGATAGCTGCATGTCACAGCTGCACATCCCTCCAGTTGCTGCATGTGGGACGCAGCCCCAGCATAGCCAGAGAAGCGGCGCGTCGGTGTGCGCCGGGGATCCGAACCCGGGCCGCCAGTAGCGGAGCGTGCGCACTCAACCGCCAAGCCATGGGGCCGTCCCCAGAGGTTCCCTCTTTTGCAGCCACACATGCTCTGGCTATTCCTATATACTAAGAGCCTCTCCTCTCAGACCCAGCTTGGTCCCCATGGTAACAGTTGACATCTACTGATCATCTCTTATGCCAGGCAGCAGGCCAGGTGCTTACTTGGACCATCTCATTTAATCCTCACGAGGATTACCCTTTAAGGTAGGCATTATTATTCCCCTTTTATAGTTGAGAAATGAAAGATAAAGAGGTGAGTCACTTGCCCAAGCGATACAGCCAGTAAGGAGCAGGACCAGGCCTTGAACCCAGGCGTGGCTGGCTGCGGAACCCACACTACACCACCTGTCCTTCACAGCCCACAAGGCCTTGGAGATCATCAGGCCCAGCTCCCTGCTTTGTAGATGAGGGATCCGATGCCCAGAGAAGGTAAGAGATTTACCCCTGAATCCAAGGTCCAGAAAAGTAGACCTGCTGAGCACCCCAGTTCCCTGACTCCTAGTCTAAAGGGTCTGTCTGCTCTGCCCGCTGCTGTGCCTGTGAGCCCAGGCCTGGGCCGGGAGCCACTCCTGCTCCAAGTTCATGGAAACTTACCCGGCCTAGGCCTGGGGTCAGTTCTTCATGTTTTATCCTGCTAACCTGAGACTCTGGGATTGGACTAAGTTGTGATTTTATAAACCCAGAGCAGAGGGTCTGCTATCAGTGAAAGGGTCAGAACCTAACTTTGTCCTAAGGCATATTTAGCTCTAATTTGGTCTAAAAATAAATTCCCTTCCAGCATGAGCAGAATGAGAAGCTTGTCTAACCCTGGGCCTCTCTCCCCGCGGGCCTCTTGGCCAGTGAACAGGGAGAGAGGAGACCTTCCCTCCCCCACCCTGTAACACACTTACGCTGTTAAAGCTTACCATATACTTTGTCTGCGGGTCAAAGAGTTTTTTAAAAGGTGACAGATAACTAGTGCCGTTGGCAAGCTATACTCTGGGCAGCTTTCCACTTTCTCTGATAAAAGTGAAATAAATTAAAACAGCGCTTAAAAAAAGAATCTATAAATGGGTGGGAGCCAGTTGTCATTTTCCCCTTGCCCTCCCCCGCTCCTTAGCTGACTTCATGAGGATCTGCGCTGAGGAGCAGTCACCAACAACAGCTGGTGGGATCAGGCCTTTAAATAGCCCTTCTCCACACTGCTTCCCCTTGGTGTCACACAGCTTGCCCTGGCAGGGAAAGCCCAGGACAGAACAGGAAACTTCAGAACTTTCTGAAGAAGGAAAGAGCTTGCTGTGAAGCATGCTCCCTCTTGCCAAGACCTTTTGGTCTAAGGAGCTTGTACTCTTGCAGCCCCTTCCCCCAGAAGTTTCCAAGGAAAAACTGAGCTGGTAAGATTTGCTTCAGGACCCAGTGTGACTCTGGGCCTGAGGAGAGAGAAAGCGGGAGAGCACGCCCTGCCCCAGTGCCCAGGGCCAGTGTCATCAGCGGCCAGCACGGTCACTCATCAGGCACCCAGCACAGGGCCCACAGCCTCTCCCCTAATGTCCTCACCTGTAACTTGGGGGGTGGGGGGGCGGGCACCACCCTGCCCAGTGGTGCTGGGGTGGGTCACACTCCACAGTGTCCTTCTAGCAGTGAAGCAGATGCAGTGGAGGTTGGTAGCAGCCTGTCAGTCTCTGACCCTCTGAAGAAGGGCCACCAGGGTGAACATACGTATGCTGAGGAAGTAGTAGCAGGTGAAACACAAGTGAGGAATGAATGGCCCTCATGTCTGGGTGGCAGCAGACAGTTGACAATGTCCCTTCCCACATGTCCTGTGTGAGCGTCACATCAGGGTGGGCCTGTCACTGCTACTCACCAGGGGAAGTAGAGCTCAGGGCTTCTGGCCCTCCAGCCTCTCTCTGGGCCTGGGGCTCTTTCCCCCTCACGCAGTGCCCCCTTCCACAAGGACAGCTGTGGCCTGGCGCAACAGGTGTGTCAGGGCTTTGAGGTCATGAGTCTCAGAGAAGGTGATAGTTTGGGGTCACAAGTCTCAGAGAAGGTGACAGTTTGGCTTGCTCAGGATGTGTTGAGCAGGATGTGGATGGCGGAGGGTGCTTTATCTTTCTTTCTTACTAATGGTTGGCATAGTTTGAAGTTTGAGAATGGACTACGTTTTCTTCTTCAGTACCTAAATATTAAATTTGCCTGCTTTCTGGGGTTGCTTTCTCTCACCTTCTTAAACAGTGTGTAATGGACATGCTTCAACTGCTTCTTACAAACCCGTGGCCATCAGTAGTACCTTATTACAGCCACAAAGGCCTCACCAAGTGCTCTCTGTGGGAAGGCCTGTGTGGTCACCTAGAAGAGGATGTACTCCCTGCTTTCAAGGGCCCACAGTGCAGCCTGGCGAGCAAGACGTGTACATGTGACAAACACCCTGGAAGAAGCACAAAGAGTATCTACATGCAGGGAAAGAACCTTCTGGTGACCAGGGAAGACTTGATGGGAGCAAGGGCATTTGGCCTGAGCATAAATAAAGCCCAGAGGTAGAAAATGGCATGTGTGAGGAAGAGCAAGTAGCCAGATCGGGGGGGTCATATCCTGGACTATGCATGGGCTTCAGGGGGACTATGACATCCCCCAATTGCAGTGGGGAGACTTACCTGCAGTTTTTCTGGGACAGCATTCTTAGCTTTCTTAGCTTCTCAGAGAGGGAGGGGGTGGTGCATGATCCCAAAAATGTAAAGGAGGAAAAGGGCAAAAATTTTTTTTAAATGTGTTGGAGCCAGATGGTGAAAATCACTGAGTGCCTGGCTGCAAGTCTGGGGAACATGAAGGATCTTGACTGGGGTCGTGACAGACCCACACTCTAAGAAAATTTTTGTCGTTGCAGCAAGAAGGCGAAATAAGCCTTGTGTCCAGGGGAGAAACAGGCTTCTGCAGTGGTTTGTTGAAAAGTAAAAAGAACGTGAGCCAGCGAGTGTCACGAAGGATAAAGGGACATTGAGGAGGAAGAGGAATAAGCTTCAGGATGAATTCAGGGGTTTAGGGAGAAGTGGAAACTGAGGGTTCTGTTACAGAAGTGCAAATGGGCCGGAGCACTTTCAAATACATAATATTGATGAAAACTTCATTGGAGCATGCTGGTTGAATTACAGAGACATCCAGGTCAGAATGTCCCGCCGCTGGTTGGAAATGTGGGACTGGAAGTCAGGGAGAGAAATGAGGGCTGGAACCCCAGATTGGGTGGTTCTCTGCTACAGATGATGCAAGCCTGAGAGTAACCACGCTGTGCTGTGCCTCACAGGAATGGAGAGCAGGACGGGAAGAGACCCAAGGAGAGAGTGCATCTGGGAGTAGGGAAGGAGGGACAGGGAGGGCAGGAGAGAGGCAGGAGACCTATGAGGTATAAGTCACAGAAGAGAGCTTCCAGAGAGAAGAGCCAGCATTTAGGTGCTGAAGAGAGGCTGCGGAGGCTGGGAGTGAGAAAGCCAGAGCAATGTGGTAGAAGGTGAAAGGGGGTTCCATTGACTTGGTGTTGAGGGAGGTTGTCATCAGTAACTGCATGTGTGACCCTGTTGAGTTGTGTGGGGCTCCTCGCCCCTGCACTGAAGGATAGCTGTTTGAGGCCTTTGGAGTACTGGGGGTGACAGGTCTTCTTGGTGGCCCTTCCTAGTTCATGTCATGGTTCTGGGTGAGCCACTTCTGGAGAAGTAAGGTGTGACTGCTCTGATCTCGTGGGAGACAGGGATGAGGGAGGGAGAAGTAGAAGGCAAGCCTGGGTGACCAGGGGCATGGGGTGCCCACCCCAACCTCTCCAGCTCCCTCTCCCTCCACTTTCTACCTCACCCTTTATCTTCCTGCAGAGCTTTTAGCTCCCAGCTCACAGCAAGCTGTCCCATGCCCCCAGGCCTCTGCTCCTACTGCGTCTTTTGCCTAGAACACCCATAATGCCTACCCCACCTCTGTCTTTACTGGTTGCCTCAGACTGGTGCCTCATGGTACCTCCATAAATACCCTTACCACCTCAGCTGGTATTACTTATGTGTCTGTCTCCTCCTCTAAGGCGGGCCCAGCACATGCCCCTCTGCTGATGTACAGCGTAGAGCCCACTTCTACAGATTCAAATCTGTGTGCCAGAAAGGCCAAATGGTCTGCTCCAGATCCTTCACTAGTCTGTGGCTGACCGGGAAAGGTTCTCTTGATACCCAGCCTGGCTTTCTTTCCAGTAGACCAGACTACACATAGGTTTGGAAATAAATGGAAACCATGTATCACTTAGAAATTCTTTTTATTAGACCTTCTTTGTCTACACGAAGTCAAAGATCCAAGAGAGTGAAAAGTGCAACCTCTTTATATTTCAGATCACGAAAACAACTGGGTGGTTGGCTTGGTCACTCTGGCATGTAGCTTGGATCAGGCCCTAGCCTTTGTCCTGGAGAGGAGCAGACAGAACCTGAGTTCTGATGTTTAATAGGAATTGGCATCCAGGAAGGTCGCATACAGGCCCTTTAAATATCCATGCGAGATAGCACAGTAGTGAACTATATGTACCTCACTCGGAAAACTCCAGAGGGCTTTGCATCAGCAGGGAAGGAAAATCCAACCCAAGATGCATGAACCATACATAACAACTGTTCTGAGTTAGGTTGAAAGCTCTGAGTTGCACTTTTTTTCAAATTGTTTGTGCTAACCACAGTTTTTTTTTCTCCCCCTCTTTCCCACCAGGGCTTATTTCAAAACCTTTGTCCCTCAGTTCCAGGAGGCAGCATTTGCCAATGGAAAGCTCTAGGAAACACCAGTCTTGAGGGGTGGCCAGCCAGACTGCTCTGTCCACATGCGTGTCAGCACATATGGCCGCTTCCTGGAAGCCACTTGGAATGTCTTCATGGCAGCATTTTCCTCACACAGCAGCTTTGTGCGCCCCAACTGGAACCCAAACTTGAGCTGGCTGGCGGTAACCTGGATCCTCGAGCCCCCCACCTCTGGTTGCTCCCTCTTTGTTTCCTGCAATATATTTCTTAGTTGGAAGAAATAAAATCACCGATCGTGACACAGTATTTTTCCAGGGAAAGTAGGACATCATAAATGCACACACTCTTATTCCAAAGCCTTTGTCTCTGAGACCTCTGCTAAGTTTTAAGATTAAACCCCCCTTTGCTTTTTATTTTCCTGAAACCAGTGTCTTGTGTGTGTGTGTGTATGTGTGTGTTTTACACCCCAACATTTCCCAAATGGGGCAGTCCTCCATTGGAAAACGCGTTGCCTGAATGAAGCTGAGCAGCCTGCGCGGTTTCAGCCGCCCAACCAGCCGGGCTCGAGGCTGGTGCTCAGGACCAACTGGGTTCCACCACCAACCCTCCCTCCCAACCCTCCAGCTCCCTGGATGAAAGGACTGCACAGCCCATCCTGACCTAGGAGGCAGTCATTAAAGTTTGCTGAGTGCATCAGTGAATCTACCCCCTGTCCTGTCACCCCTCCCTAGGCTGATAGGAGATCTCTTTGGGCTTATGCAGCACTGTGCGAATTATACCTGGAAGACACAGGTTGGGTCTAATGGGTTATCACTGGCATGTGTGTGACAACTGGGCTCATCCTGGCATCCTCAGGATGGATCAGCAGCCATCCAGGAAGAGCTGGGGAAGATACCCTGAGCAAGCTCTGTTTTCCCTAAATCTATGGATCTTATTTCCACCCCTCACCCAGCAAATGAGGAGCCAGCCTGGGAGTGGGAGCCAGGTCTTTCCATACTGTCACACAACTTCCCTTAACTTCCACACAAGGTGACTACAGCCACCTTGACCTCTCTATGAGAGTCACCGTTTAGTTTAGCCTTGTTCCACCCTGCAGGCTTTCATCACAGGGAAGTGAGACCTGCGCACAGAGGTGAGAGAGACAAGCAGCTGGCCTGTGCTGCCTGTGCTCTAAGTGGAACCCGCCTGCCTGCCCAGACGAAGCAGGAGCCCCCAGCCCCACCTGCTGCAGGGCCCGCACAGGCTTTAACCTGGCCCCTCACTGTTCTCTTGAAGCCCCATTTTACCATGTGAGCCTGAGAGGGGACCAGCTCGGGGCCCTGTGAGGCCTGGTGAGGGATACTTCTCCTTCCTGTGTTCTTCAGCACCCAGGAATGTTCTTAGGAGTTGGGAGAACAGCTTGAACAGACCTCCCGGCTTGGCTACCAGCTGGAGGCTGTCCAACTCTGGGTTCTTTCACTGCTTGGGGACTTTGCCCCCTGCCCTGAAACCTTGGTAATTCCCATGACAGAGAACGGGCCAGTGTTCTGTGTCCGCACCTAGTTCTCCCATTAGCTGGTGGGGTGACCTTGAGTAAGTCCCCTCTCTGTGTAATATAGGACTCACCACGTCAGAATCACCCGGGAGCTTTTTCAAGAACCACTGGTCTGAGTCCCACTGCACTTCTGCTGACTCAGAGTCTAGCTGGGGCTGGGGCATGTGGATTCTGACAAAACTCCCCAGGTGGTTGGTTCTGTTGAGCAAGTGGTCGAGACCCCCTAAGCCAGCTAACCACTCTGGAGTCTCTTCTGACTGTACTGTCTCCCTCAGGGCAGCTGTGTGCCAAGCTCCACTCTCTCTGCTCCATGACACTGTCATTTAGGATTGCTGTGCCCTGCCCCCACCCCCCGCCCCCAGTGGAGGAACATGGATTGGGCTCACTGCCTGCAGAGCCGAGAGTTGACGGAGTCGGGGTTTGCTTCGGACCCAGTAGGAGTTCCAGCTCCAGTTCCAGCAGGGGCAGTTGTGGGCTGGGGTGAGGTCACATAGCCTGGACCCTTGGCATTTCAAATAACCAGTCAGTAGTGACAGCAGTCAGTAGTGGGCAGTGTGATCTGGGAATGGCCCTCATGCCCCTGCCAACCTCTAGGGGTCCACATATGCTCAGGCTGGCCAGATCCTCAATGACACGCCCGCAAGTCTGCAAAGCAGGCCCAGTCTGACTCGGAAGTGCTCTCACATGCTTTATCTCAGCACATTTGTATAGCAGACCTGTGAAGTAAGCAAGTGAGTAGGCCCCTGTTCCGTAGATGAGGAAACAAGGTCAGAGAGGTTAAGTGAGTTACCCACAGTCACCAGCCAGTCAGTGCCAGAGTCAGGAGTCAACGCAGGCTCTTGGCCCCAGATCCATTGCCGCTTCTCACATATGTCCACGACTCTCTAGTAAACAAACAGAGACTTATCTTTTCTTTCCCAGTAAAGGATGATGTACTATGTATAGGTTTGTGAGCATGGAGATTATGTGATTTTTAAAAAGACTTTTCAGCCCTCTTAGCACAGGGAGAGGGTTTGGATTGATTTTCTTAGGGGGATCCAAACAACAGAAGGTGACAATAGCCGCTTCATGTTTCAAATGCCAGGGACTTAAAACCCGGCGTTTGTGAGATTTTATCTCTAACCCCAACAGCAGCAGAAGCAAGTGGCACTTGTAAATGGGTGACAGTCAACTGTATGTTTTTTAAACACTTCTTCCTAGTTCAGCCCATTGTTGAGCATTGTACCTGCACACAGAGTGCAGCCCAGGACTAATTAGTAAATGGCTGTAAAAGGCTTTGAAGGTGAAAAGTGCCATATATGAGAGCACATTATTATTACCTCATAAATCCTGTCTCCAGCTTACTCAGCCCTTGTAATTTCAGTTGAATCTTTAGCTCAGCACAGACGAAGAAAAGGACTCAGATGTCTTTACTAATAATACCTGGATATGATCAGGACATCTCCTGGGGGGTCTGGGGAGGAGGCACAGGAGACCCGGACAGCCAGTGGTTGCCTTCTCCCAGCCACTCAGCTTCCTGAGGATACACTACCTACAGCAAGACAGTGCTCTGGTAGAGAGAGCCTGTTTTCTTCTGGGGATGAGCTGGGAGGAGTCTGAGCTTGAGGAGGAGAGACACTTGGATTTGAATCCTGGCTCTGCCCACTTAATGCCTGGCAAATATTTAACAAGCAGTTCTTCAGCAGTTTAAAAAAGAAGATAAAAAAAAGGAGGGGGCCTTAATTTGTGCTGTTTGCCAATTTCCATGGTGATGGTGGTAATACTCCCACCATGACTGATTTCAAGCTGTTGACGTGAGATCACTGGACGCAGACTTGGGAAGAGCAGGGAGGGTCGTGGTGGGAGCCTCTGCTGGGGCGAGCAGGCCTCAGTGTGGGTCTTTATTTCATCTCTCTGAGTTTTGTTTTCCTCATCTGTAAAATGGGAATAAATAATATCTGCCTCCCAGGGGCTGGCCCCGTGGCGTACCAGTTAAGTTCGCGCGTTCTGCTTCAGTGGCCCAGGGTTCGCCGGTTCGGATCCTGGGCGTGGACCTACTCACTGCTCATCAAGCCATGCTGAGGCGGCGTCCCACATAGCAGAGCTACAACTCTACAACTATGATACACAACTATGCACTGGGGCTTTGGGGTGAAAAAAGAAAAAAAAGATTGGCAACAGATGTTAGCGCAGGGCCAATCTCCCTCAAAAAAAAATAATAATAATATCTGCCTCCCAGGTTGTGAGAATTAAATGTAAAAAGTACATAAAGCAACAAGTACAGTGCTTGGCACACTAAAATGTTTGATCAGTATTGGCTATTATTATTGCATACCAGGAAAAGGAATTTCTGATGTTGACTTTGGCCTTTTTTATTTTTTCCACAAAACCCCAGTAGATAGTTGTATGTCGTAGTTGCACAGCCTTCTAGTTGCTGTATGTGGGACGAGGCCTCAGCGTGGCTGGAGAAGCCGTGCATCGGTGCGCACCTGGGATCCGAACCCTGGCCGCCAGTAGCGGAGTGCACGCACTTAACCGCTAAGCCATGGGGCCAGCCCAACTTTGGCCTTTTTCTAAAAAGACAGAATGCCCCTGTTAAAAATGTGGCCTTTGAAAAATAGAGGAAGATGGAACACTTCCTAAATCATTCTACGAGGCCAACATCACCCTGATACCAAAACCAGACAAAGACAATACAAAGAAAGAAAATTACAGGCCAATATCGCTGATGAACATTGATGCAAAAATCCTCAACAAAATATTGGCAAACCGAATACAACAATACATTAAAAAGATCATACACCATG